TGTCTGTCAATAGATTTCCTTGGAAGCCGTATTGATTTGGACTAATAATAGTATGTTTCATGAGATGATTTACGAGTCTGTTATACATTACACTCTCTACAATTTTTGAGAAGGATGTTAGTAGCGAGATGGGTCTGTAGTTAGCTAATGTTGATTTATCTCCCTTTTTATGTATTGGCTTAACTACAGAGTATTTTAATCGATCAGGGAATACCCCACATTGTAAAATTTTATTATAGATATAACTTAATGGAGAGCTTATATACAGTGCACTGAGTTTAGTGATCCTCAGAGATATTTGATTGTATCCACAAGAATCTTTAGTTTTAAAAGCTTTAATTATTTTTTCAATTTCTTTGGGTGTGGATGGTTCATTATGAATTTTTGGGTAATTATTTAAAATTGCCTGATGCATATATGGTAAAAATTCTGTAGCCAAAATATTGCTATGCATACCATTATCTGTTTTAATTAATTTGTTAATAAGAGAAATGAAGTAGTCATTAATTTGTTCAGCAGCATTTTGATTCTTGCATTTCTTAATTAGATCCTGCAAGTCGTTTCATTTAGAGATTCAGCCCGTTTCTGAATTAATTATTTTCCAAGTAGAATTAAGTTTATTGTGGGATTTTCTAATATAGTTGTCATAAGCAATTTTTTGGCTAAAACAATGACCTTGTTTAAAATTTTACAGTACTTGGAATAGTAATCTTTTAGAGCTAAATTCCCTTCCTTTTTTAGTCTTAAATATAAGTTCCCCCCCCCCTCATAAGAGATACTTATACCGGTGGTGATCCAGTTGATGTTTCCACTTTTTGTTATACTTTGTTTATGAATCATAGGGAAACGAGAATAGAAAATTCTCAAGCAGGTGTTCAAGAAGACATTAAATATATAATTCACGTTACTTCCTCCAAGGAATTCGTCCCAATTTACGTAGCTTAACTGATTTAAAAAATCAGCAACAGTAAATGTATTCATTTTCCTGTATGTATAGGACTGATGTTCTCTTATTAATGTGAAGGGAAGGACAGTGGTAAGTACTTGACCTTCGTGGTCAAGTGCGGATGATACAAGTGTATTAGTATTGGGTGAAAATATCCAGGGTATCCAGACGAAGTTCAGGCATGTGTTAAATTCCTTAAATCTTTGGTTTACAAGTAATGGCCTGTCTTTAAATATGAAGAAAACTAATGTGTTAAAATTTGAAACAATTACTCTTGGAAATATGCCAATGCAATTGCAATATAAAAATGGGGTATTATATGCTGCAATGAATATCATATTTTTTGGCCTTGAAATAGATATGTTTTTAAATTGGAAAACACAAATTAATGTTACCCAGACTGGGCAAGGCATGCTTCGCATTAAGAAATATGAAGTTGGCACTAATATTGAAACACTTAGGATGATATGTTACACATATTTTCATTCAGTCATGAGGTATGGGATAGTTACAGGGGTAACTCACCGGCTGCTAAGAAGATTTTTATCTTACAGAAGAGAACTATTAGGGCGATTATACGATTGAAACAAAGAGATACATGCAGGGCGCTATTCAAAAAAGTAAACATATTAACATTGGCCTCCCAGTATATATTATCTTTGATGATATTTATGGTAAGTAATCTTGAGTATTTTATTTTTAATGTTGCAGTCCATAATAAGACCACACGACACATAGGGAATCTATATGTAGTACAGTCACATTTAGCAGTAAGGCAAAAAGGAGTTTATTATATGTGTGTTCAAATTTTCAACAGTTTGCCTCTCTATGTAAGAGATTTGGTACAAGACAGAAAACTTTTCCTAGGAAAACTAAAAGAAATATTAATCAATAATTCGTTTTATTCAGTTGATGAATTTTTGCTTTATTGTAAGGATTTATAGTCAGAAATGTGTTTATTTAGGTATATTTCATTATATTACTGTGCAATTTATATCTAAATATGTGACAACCATAGTTCTTCATTGCATTCATATGTATATGAGTAGGAAGGAGAATTATAGTTGTATGTGTAACATTGTATCTATTTAAGTGAGGTATTCAGTTTAGATTTTAACTATCATTGAATTGATGTCTCTGCAATTTTATCTGTGATTGTCTTGTGACTGTTGTTTGACAAGTTTTATATTCAGTGCCAGTTGCACACTAATGAATGCTCTGAAACGCTGATGTATGCATGTATGTATGTAAGTAATGCACGATCTTATATTTTGGCAGTAGAAGTGACAGTGTTTCTGTTGACTTTCTTGAAATTTTTGTTCCTTCACTCAGACATGCTGTAGTTTTATAGTGGTGATATGATATTTAGGAATTCATGATTGTAATCTGCAATCATACCAACATTTGGGTATTGATTCACAATAGTTCACCGGTTATTGCAACATATTTGTGCTTGAGGATCATTCAAGAGGGATTATGTTTTTGTGTGTTGGGGGGGNGGGGGAGTTGAGCAAAGAAACATTTCCCAGGTTGGATGTTGGAGTTTCGCAGTGGTGACCAATATAAAGTAGTAGTATGTAGTGTGTGTAAGGGGTGGACCATAAAAACTGGCCCTTGAGCTGCAACCTTCAATGTTCTATTGTGCTTCCCCTTTGGATCAACCCTTTATTAATCCTACACTTTGAATGAAATGTAGGACTTTATTTAGGGAGCATCATAAAAGTCATTTGGTTCCATAAAGAACTGGCCCAAGTTATGAAATCTTAAATAAACTGTGGCCTCACAATCACATAGGATACATATGGCTGATTTGTCTTCTTGTAGGTACCTTTCAGAGGCTGGGTAATCTGTCAATTCCTGTTTGAAAAGGTGTCTTTTTAGGTGGCAGTGTCCAGAACTGATAGGAATGGAGGTTCTTCCTAATTTCTGTACACTTTCAGGTCTTTTTCTACACAATTTAGTGGAAATGTAGATCTGCTGTGAATAGTTCCATGTTAATAATTTGGGGTTATTTAAGATATTTAGAACCAGGGTGACTCCATACAGTGACTGCCTGTGGGCTAGATATAGGGAGTTTTCTCCTAGCCACCATGTTCAAAACAACCACCTCATATCCTATGGGTACTGTCTGTCCTCTTCACAGAGAGAGGAAGTCACTACAGGGTGATTTCACATAGTTTGGTTAAAACTCGAGCAACTTTTGTTGACATTTGGAACTTAGGGCAAGGAAAGATAACATAAGATAGGATAAGTTTGCTTATGTAAGGCTATTCTATGTAGGATAGGCTGAAATTGGGTAACTTCTGTTGGTTATGCTAACTGAAATTGAAGCATCCTAATTCCAAACTCATGTTCAAATTAGACCAAAACTACCTAATGTAATGGGATCAAAGCAACTGTAACCAAACTAACATTATATAAATTTGGGTAAATTAATATTTAATGTATCATCATCACCAAGTAAATTTTTATTTACTGTTTTACAATAAAATGATTAAATGTGTGTACCTGTATGATTTGTGATATATACATTTGCTTAATTATTTATGTTCTGTATTATTTGTTCATCTTCCTGTTATCTATTTATTTCTAGTGTATTTAACAATGGTGTCTGTGGGACCAACCACCATAGCATTGAATGATTGGATGTAATGAATAATGAATTGGAAGAAATGTGGAAAGAAGTGATTGTGGCTTAATTTGAAGTACTATCCCAGCATTTGCTGCAGGGTACCGAGGAAAACCATTACAAAATATACCTCATTATATTAATTTCCTTAAGTAGGAAGAAAGCATAAGAGATCACCGTCCTGTGCGCGTGTGTCTCCTTTGAAATATTGAACCAACTTATCAGTAATCACAAAATGTATTAATGTTATGAGAGGCCACCCCAACCTCATACTTTTCAGTTCCTCACAACTGGTAATATGGCAGACACAAACTTAGGGGGTTGGTGTCAAACTTAATAAGAGGACCTTCGAATAGATATTTAAATCATATGCCTCTTATGGTATGCTTTCTCTTTTTAGAACATGTAAGTGAATGAAAATTATATTTAGCATTTGTTCTGATGGGGATGACTCATGAGCCATAGAAACAGGGCACGTGAAACATACCTACAGATTCTGTATGAAATACTGTTTATAAGTCAAAGAGTTCTAAACATGACTGCATATCTCTGAAGTTATATCTGACAAATTTAATAAACTGTCTCTAAATTCACAATATCTGCCATAATGTTAATCACTTTGCTATATTTTTCATTTAAACACATTTTGATCAGCCTAACTAGTATCATGGGTAGCCCGAACTCTGTGAGGATTCTGTAAAATACTTTCCTTTCAACTGAATCAAAGCTTTCTGAAGTCTCTCAAAAGCTGATGTACTGTCTCACTGTACTCCCATTTTCTTTGTCCAGTACCTGATAAATATGAAAAATGTGACCAGCAGTTGATCTGTTATTCTGAAGCCCACAGTGATGAGCCTCAATAATTTCGTCCATTTCTGGACTTCAGAGGATACTGGATAACATTTTGTGTGAAGTCAATAACAGCAATATTGCACAATTACTAGTTCTACTGCTCTGCTTGTATATTGGTACAAAAAATATACTCCTTCTACTGGTCAGGCAAACGCTTATTAAGTTAATCTGAGATATGGTAACATCCGCAGAATTAGTGCTACTACATAACAGTAGTTCAGTTACTTCGACTAAACTGTGAGTTGAATTAAGGTTAGGTTATATTATGAGAAATACACCGAATCGGGTGAGTTTTGCATGCACAAAATGACGGTAAAGCATATCGTCTTATTTTTAGTTGCCGGTTTATATATACTATGAGTATATAAATCACAGATGAAGTTTTGTAATTCATATGATTCATTATTTTACCACTCACACCACGCCTACCACATACCCGACTGAAAACCAAGATTTTGAATTGTCAGCGGACGGTTACACTCTTTGGATATCACGATCATCACGATGATCACGATGCTAGGCATACAATTCCCCGTCTTTGTGTCTTACGGATAACTGGTTGGTTAAGTTGCACATTGTCCGTGTAAATTGTATGGGGCTTTGACAGTGTTTATGGCGCCATTTTTGGCGAAGTTGAGTACTATTGGAAATACTATGGCGGATTTGCGGAGTGGTAAATAGTTACTACCTGTTTTCTTTACAGTTCCATTATTCGCTGTTGAACTATGGAAACGAAATGCCCTTGTTGAATATTTTGTCTACTTTATGTTTTTTAATTGGTTAGGAAAAATTATTATTATTGTCGATATGTAACTTTTGACACGAGGATTTTCATCCCACGAGTGGTCTTTCATGTAACCTTATATTTGCTGGGTAGTAGCCCCCATTAAAACAATTTGGCATTTTGTGAGTTTCTCGTTTAATATCTTGCCCTTTATTTTAGACACCGCTTCTCCGATGGATGGACAGTCAGGGAAATCAAATAACATACAGGTGCAGTATTTATTTATTTGTGTGAGGTTAGCATCATGTTAAGTGGTTGCATATAAAATCGTGATTTGTATGTTTGAATGTTGTCTGCGTGTTTGCTTTTACGACGTAATGGCTTTTTCATTGTGCTTTATTTACATATTTCAGTGTTCGTTAGGATCAAAATTGTATATGTCTTATAACTTTTACGTTAATCTGTATAGGTGTAGTGTTTTTTTTTTAGTTCTTTTTAAGCGTAATACGTGAGCGACACGAACTTGAACAGAATAACATTTTAATCACAGCATTATTAAACTTAACCGAAGATAGAGGTAGGTTCATGAAATTATATCATTTTGAGTAAATGGATCGTTGATTCCTACATTAAATACTCTTCATCATTCCCTCTGTATAGTCAGTCCATATTTCCATACTCTGCTGTCATTAGCTCCAGACCAAATTTTACTTTGTACTCTATGTTGCTATGTATTCATTTTGTAGTTAGGTATTAACATTGATAACTAATGTTGATTTCAACTTAACTGTATCTAAATTATTGAGGCCTGGTCTTGGCTAAATATCACCCAGAATCATTCATTCATTCATTCATTGTTTATTAATCCTGTAGATCATGATACAATGATATAGGACAAGTCTTCCAGCTAATATACATTATTAAGTTATGACAATCTTAATACAAAAAATTATATAAGATATACAGCATTTTATACATTAGCTACTACATACTTCTGCTTATATCAGTAGTCAGTATTTGCAAAATCATCGTTCAAATAGTCCTCTGTTGAGTAATAGCACCTCATAATAAGTAACTTCTTCAATTCCCTTATGAAGTGGGTTTCGTTCTCCTTTTCATTTATTCACCTTCCATAAATCCTGCTGAGAGTATATTCTCATGCGGATGTGGCGATCGTCCTTGTTACAGTCACAACTAAGAATTACAGTTGTCATCCAATAGCATTCACGTTTGTAATAAAATACTGATAAACATATACAATATAATAAATAAGTTAATTTTAATAGTAAAAGTAATGGCAAACCTTATACAATTTGTACAGTTTTATAAAAGTCTATTAATTAAAAATTCAATAGTTAAAACACAATGTCATTAATGAGTTTTGTATAACATACATTAATTATATAATAAATTGAAATAAAGACTAGTATACAGTAATATAAAGATTGTATACATCTAAAATAAGCATCTAAAAACCAGAACACAGACTGACAATCTTGTCTTCTTTTAATTGTAACTCACATCTTAAAAAGATTTATAACCACAATATTCCTATAAAGAATAAAAAGAATGTAAATATAAAAATTGTTTTAATAGTACCTCAAAACTCTTAGTGTCACTCGATATATCCTTAATATGTTGTGGTAGATTATTATAGGCCTTTGTTCCTAAAAAGTAAACTCCCTTTTGGTATTTTACTGAAATTTAGATGAGGCTGATGGAGATTATTTTGCTGTCTGGTATTTCTATGAATCTCTGAATTTACTATGAATTTGTTTCTGTTTTTTATCACAAAGAGCATAAGAGAATTTAAAAATAACCTCAGTTATGAATATTGGGCTGACGTATTTAATATAAATGAAGATGTAAATATAATGTTCAACAATTTTTTAAACACATTCTTAAGAATATTTAATAACAGTTTTCCTTACAAAAAATTATTATTCACCCATACCAAAGAACCCTGTCTAACAATAGGCATAAAAACGTCATGCATTCGTAAGAGAGAGCTATATTTTCTTAGTAGAAATTTGGATGATCCGGAATTAGCAAGATATTACAAGAATTATTGCAGAATCTTAACAGAGGTTACAAAGAAAGCAAAACAACTTTATTATAATAAATTAATTTTAAATTCCTATAATAAAATAAAAACCACTTGGAGTATCATCAGTACTTTAACTAAAACTAAATTGGAAAAAAATCCAATAGCAAGCATAAATATGGAAGATAAGTTATGTAATAATATACAAAAAATGTCTAGTTACATTAATAATGATTTTATATATCCACTACCACAAATAAAAAATAGTTCTACTAAAGACAGGAATGAAGCCCTTAAATTCCTACCATGTTTAAACACCCCTTTCCAGATATATATATATATATATATGTCACCAGTAACTAATAAAGAAGTTAAAGACATATTGAAATCATTAAAATGGAAATATTCACATGGATATGATGAAATGCCACAATATATCCTCAAAATAAGTTTACCATTCATATTGGCACCATTAACATATATGTGTAATAAAGTATTGAATCTTGGTGTCTTCCCCTCAAGATTAAAATATTCTCAAATACATCCTATTTTTAAAAAAGGTGATAGAACTGATATAGCAAATTATAGGCTGATATCTTTACTGACATCTTTCTCTAAGATCTTTGAAAGAATCATATATAATAGATTTCAACATCATCTAGACATTAGTGATATATTAGCACATGAACAACATGGTTTTCGAACTAAATTGTCCACTGAATCAGCCATCTGTGACTTAATAAATACTATTCTAACAGCAACAAATAATAAACTTATTGTGGGAGGCCTTTTCTGCAACCTGACCAAAGCATTTGATTGTGTAAATAACACAATACTTCTTGCTAAGCTAGAGTTCTATGGTTTTAATGGTAAAGCAGGAAAGTTAATTAAAACTTATTTGAGGAATAGACAACAAAGAACAGTACTAAATAGCAATATTACTAGTGGAATTTCGGAGTGGCAAAATGTAAAACAGGGAGTCCCTCAGGGCTCCGTTCTGGGGCCATTGCTCTCTTTGATATATATATATATAAAATGATTTGCCAAATACAATAAATAAAGAATCAAAACCAATTTTATTTGCTAATGACACCACCATATTGTGCTGCAAGTCAAATCTTAAAGAACTTGACATCGCCCTGAAAGAAACTCTTGAATCAATCAATAAAAGTCAATAAATGGTTCTCTATAAACTCGCTAATTTTGAATCTAACTAAAACGAGTTGTGTCCAGTTTTTAACAAAACCAAATGCACTAATAAGCTTAAATATTAAACATTGTGATATCCAAATTAATAATATGAATACCTTGAAATTCCTTGGGCTAACAGTTGATAGTACTTTAACATGGAAGGACCATATCAAACAAATAGCCAGTAAATTGAGCTCGGCTTGTTATGCTATAAGAGTTTTAGTCTCAGTATTGTCTCTAGAGAGCTTATTGATGGTGTATAATGCCTTTGTTCATTCTATAATGTCATATGGCATAATATTCTGGGGAAATTCAACATATAGTACACAAATATTTAAAATTCAGAAAAGAATAATTAGGGTAATAATGAAAGCAGGAAATAGGGACACTTGTCGGCCTTTATTTAAGAAATTAAACATTCTTCCTTTTTATTCACAGTATATATTTTCAGTATCGGTCTTCATAGTTAAAAACATGGACAAGTATGTAGCAAATTCAGATATTCATAACATTTATACGAGACAAAGATATGAACTACATTATCCAACTTATAAATCAACCAGGGCGCAAAAGGGAGTATCTTACACTGGAATTAGAATATTTAACAAATTACCACATAGTATAAAAATTTTTACGCAAGATTTAAATAAATTCAAATATTCGCTTAAAAATTTTTGCAAGTGGGCTCTTCTTACTCTCTAGATGAGTATTATGAATGAGAAACAAGAGATGATTGTGTTAATTATAGATAAGTGAATCAACACTAGTCATTTTTAAAAACTTCTATTGTAGGATACATATACTTTTTTAGTTATGATTTTACTCTGTAATAGACAATGTTGATATGTATTTTATTGTGATAATAAGTTGCAGTGCAAGTTACATGCATGTTGTATTTAATTATTTAATTTTAGGTGGGCTCTTTTTATTTTTTAGGTGAGTGTTATGAATTGAAAATAAGGGATGTTTGTGCTAATTACTGATAAATAAAACTACACTAGTCATTTTTTAGAGTTTTATTGTAAGATGCCCATAACTCTATGGATATGATTTTGCTCTGTTATTGACAATGTTGTTATGGATTTTGTTATGATAATAAGTTGCAGTCCGAGCATTATATGCATGCTGTGTTTAGTTATAGCGTTGTATCATCAGTTATTGCAACAATGGTTGTGGATGTTGTAATATCTTAATGGCGTCCTCTGGATTGATTTTATTGTAACTAGGGCTTGGGCGTGTTCTATATCTAGTGGCGCCATTGCCAAATGTAGACTTAATGAACAAATAATAAATTGAATTGAATTGAATATGTACTGAGATGCCAGAGGTAAGATTTCTATTTCTCTAAATAAGTTCCTGCACGAATCCCTCCTCCTGCATCCCAACATAATTCTAATTATATTCTTTTGCATTCTAAAAATGTTTATACTTTGGGGTGAGTTACCCCAAAAGGGTAAACCATAATTTGTAATAGAATTAAAATAAGAGTGATAAACCATTTTTAAGGTATTTATGGACGTGTATGGTTTAAGCGATCTTATTATGTAGCAGACTGCACTTAGTTTTAAACTAATATACTCAATGTGGTATTTCCAGCTCATTGTGTCATCAGTGATAATTCGAAGAAATTTGATAGTGGATATAGATGTAATTTGTTTTTTATCATATACAATTTTTATTTCAGATTTAGGATTTTTATTTCTAGCTGTGAATTGAATGTAGTGGGTTGTTAAAATTTATAGAAAGTTGGTTTACTTTGAACCATTCCAATTACAAATTACAAAAGACAAGTAAAGTTTTAAAATCTTTGTTAAAAATTAAAATACATAAACCATACGGTTTGTGTCAGTAACCCCTGTCATCTCTCTTCAAGGTGGCCGATGTTGTGCCTCCTATGTAACTTGATTAGGGAGATTCTTAATATTGTCCGTTATGATTTCTTGGCCCGCTGTGCTGTGTATACAGCATGTAAGGCTAGTGAAACATCAAGTGAGAAAACTGAAATAGTCGCATTGGACGGACTTGTCTTTTGTA